AGGCCGTGCCTGCCTGGATCGTCCGACTTGCACCAGCCATTCTTAACGTATTCTTGACAGACCTTAGGATGTAAATAACGATCTCTGCACTCCTAAAATGCGATTTTTTTCGTTGCAAAAATAAGACAACTTCATCAGTAGGACAACTTCACAAAAGTACCAAAACAGTGAAACATACCCCCTCTTTTAGTGGTTTGCCTGGAGTGAATATCCCTTCAGTGAAGGCGTTGAGAAGCATAAGCGCGATGAGCAAGTAGAGGAACATTTTTATTACCGGCTGTTGCTGGAATGGAGACACGCGGTTTTCAGCCCTTTTATAGGGCTCCACCTATGCTCTTCTGTGTCGTTCGTTAGCTGAACTCTCTGTCCAATTACCTACAAATTTCCAGGCAGTATAGCATATTCGCTTTTCGATTTATTTGCGATCCTGAGTGTGAATAAACGAGCCATTTATTCGGCGCACTAAACGGGGATGTTAGAGAGACAATCATTTCATAGGTGACAGCTGTTCAAACTGCCTTTTTTCTCTTCGAAGCTGATGATACTGCATGCCCTCACAGAGGTGTATGACGGCTGGAATTCAGTTGAGTCATAGTTTCATTACAACAAAAAAACAGCTGTATGATTTCTTCCCTGAAGAATCGCTTCTGATGGTGTTAGGACAACCTTGGGCCGGACTGCAATGGAAGGTGGCGCCGTTTACGTCAAGGGATGGACTCTTGGGTCGTACGTCGTCCGCGCCAATCAAGCCTTCTGTTAATCCGGGGTCGGTAATCTCAGTCACTAAAAGAAGTCACTGGAGTCAGTAAAGTCGGATAGGAGAGACAGAAAACAAGGATGTGTGAGAAAACATGGATAAAATATTCTTCGCAGGCCCAGTCGCTCCATTCTCTTACCTTTATTAGAAGGACGTATTTGAAAGCAGTACAAGGAATAGCGCATCTCCACAAGGTGTTCACGTGCTGTGCAGGCACCTCCTTTATCTAGGCCCGCTCTCTCGCCTTTAGCGCCCTTAATATCTCGTTAAAAATGAGGCAGTTGCTAAGGAGCTGTCGCAAATCAAAACTCGCAAGAGTTTTGGAAAGACCATGGGCGAATGGAGCTGTTCCTAAGGTTACGGGAGTTACGAAGTGTGTTTACTACAATACAGTTTCTGCCAACAGGTCATCATTATATGTGTAACACCTTTTAATGGATTCTACAACTTGATTGGAGGTCGGATGCATGGCCTATACTGAGGCGAGATCCGAAGATGACGGTTGCCTCTGTTCTTATCGCTTATGTTGGGAGAATTTACTTCTAGACACATTTGAAGCGTTGTCAACAAATTAAATCTGTTGAAAGTGTAGAAGGGAGCGGCTTTTTGGGCGGCCAAGAATCACTCTCGATAGAACCTCGACGCAGATATCTACTGCTACTAGAGAATGTAAAAGGAAGCTAAACATACCTTTTGGAAGCGCAAATCTTCCGCTTTCCAAAGCTTCCTCGTTTTCCAAGGTTCTCGAGAAATTAGGGAGATATTGCCTTTTAAGTGTCAAAAACTCACTTGAAAAATTCCGCATCCTCGACGTTCTCTCGACAAAATTTGAGACCCTATCCCTTCGAGTGTAAAGCTTTTAGATCAATTTCAATAGGTAGTAGCAAATCCAGCTCTATCTAACCCTACCACATACCGGTCCAAAACTTATGAAATGGGGGAGTGGGACCTTTTCATCGAGAGTGTTGATTTCGACAGTTTTGAACTGGGTTTCGGCAAATCTGGCCCACGGATAAACCGCGCTGCAACCGAACGCTTTGCTGTGCATTGATGAAACTCGCTTATTCACATCACGGCAAAGTTAGAGGGGTCGTATCAAGATCCCGATCTGAAGGAGGGGGGGGGGTCGTATTGATGTGACCACGTCCTCGACACGATTTTCACTCTGGCCCTGACTATCCTCACCTATGAGTTCGCCTATCGTCTACGGTTATCGTTATCGATTCATCTCTGAACAACACTGTTTTTGAGTTAATTTGCACCTTCTGTTGGTATCCATTTTAATCCTCTCGTAAACAGTTGAAGCTGAGTAAACTGAAATTTCCCATTGTTGACCTTTGCAGCGAAAAGCGGTGAAGCTTTCCTATGGGCTTAATGTGTGGGGAATACCACAAGGGGCATTCATACAGTGGCAGTCATGGTAGCTTACCTTCGTTGCGCGCTCGAGTCTGAGAAGTCCATCCGGGTTACTACCAGCTGATGTCCCTAAATTAGGGTGCAGAATTTGAGAGCTGAGGTCGTAAATTTTCAAAAAGTGCGAAAGCTACACTTGACTGTTCGAGCAGCGCCCCTGAGCACAAAGGATAGAGACACCGTTGCGACTGGAAATTGCACCACGAGAGCGCTATTGCCTTCCTTGACCGCTGCAACCACTGTCATTCCTATCATTCGCAGCATACGTGGTCTCTCTTATAAGGTGCTCTTTCGCGTTTTCCCTCTCCTCGCTGCGCTGTCTCTCCATCATGCCACAGTTGACCCCACAGGGTTAGGAGGTAATAAGTTTCACTGTTTTCTATGGTTCCTCTTGGTTGTTCTCCACTCACGATCACCTCTTCGCTCTTATTGTTTCACTCTCCAGCAAAACAGAACATCAACACGATCGCTACCAATGCCTTTAAGGTACTCAGGAAGCTGCTCTCAACCTCCCATTATGGAAAACGTTTTCAAAGCTGTTGCCCATTCGGAGCGGTACAGATAATTCATTATTTTTCCGTTGCTTTCGTCTGGGACTGCCTACATTGCTATTTCTATCTTACCACCATATTTCATTGAATAGGTGAGTCCTGATAGACTTTCGTTTACTCCCATTCAGACCCTTTTCCACTCACTGCTACCACTGTGTATTAGGGTGCATAACGGTCGAGGATTTCCTCGACCGTGGCTCTTTACTGTGCGAGAGTTTGTGTCGAGAGTGAATGCATGCGTGAAGAGCATAGACGGCTCACGGGTGGCGAGAGAGAGCATCCGCGTAGGATAGCGTGAAAGAAATCCTCGACGAGCCGTTGTCGTTCCCTCAAGCGATTTTCACCCTGCTGTGTATTGGTTAGTACAGTTCGTGCCGTTGCTTTTGTTTGTACCGTAATCGAATTATTTAATTTAGTGACGTCGCTTGCTTAAGTGAAGTTTTTCGCTCCGTCAAAGCGAATTTTCCCAACATTAGCTGACCGTTGGTACCACAGAACAGTAGTGAACCAGTTGTTCAAGAGAGATCGGTCGGAAGGTGAGCGAGTGAAGGCTGAAAACTCTTCACACGCCAACCTTCCTATTTATCTGTTACATGAACAATAGATCTCAGAAGTCGACAAGCATAAAACCAGTTACTTGACAAGAGGCCCGTCGCGGGCGAGAAGGCAGAGACGCAGACGAGTTGGCGGACGAGTCGCTGCTCGTATCTTGCGATCTGGGACGTATTATAGTAAATTTTATATTGTCATACCAAATCACTGCCGTACGAGCTGCGTCTCGTCCGTTGACGTGCTTTCCTGCCCTGGGCACAGGCTTTCTGTCGGGCACCACACAAAATCATTGTGACTATGGATTAATGTTTATTTAGCAATAATACCCGCAAAGCTTGGAATACTGAATTGAAAAGAGCGCAAAACTATGAAGCTTGATGATGTCGACGGTTGTGGAAGGACATCTCTAGACGGAAGCTATGTTGACTAGTGGACCATGCGCTGAAAAAGAACCGTATTGAGTTAGATGTCGAGTGTTCATCGAATCTCAAGGATAACTATGGTAAGACCAACCTTCCGGTATAGGCGTGATCACTCGCTTCGCTCGTAACGATGGCGCTCCGATCTGTCGCACGAACGGCAGCGGACTGGTGGCGGTCAATCGACGTGGACGAGCGGCTTGTGCTGAAGACTCACTCATTTCTGAAAGTGAGAGCTGACAGCAAAGGGAACGATACAATGGGCCGTTGCATATATATTTAAACCTAAGCAAAATGTTAAGCCTTGTGAAAAAAGTCGGGACAACTGCTAGTCGGAAGCTGGCACTAGTGAAAGAGATGGCCCCAGGAATTGCACGTACTCCCTACTCCGGAACATTTCTTATTTGATAAACATTGTGCTTTAGAGTAGAGTTGGGGAAACCACTTCATTGTGCTCCGCGTCTCTGACGCTAAGGAAGGATAAAAGCATTGATAAAGCCATGGGTAAGAGCTCCGATAGCGCGCTCATTTGTGTGAATCTTCAAATTATGACTTGCTGAGTCAGCCTGAAATGGAGAAGAGAAGGGATTCAAGTGGAAACCTCTGCCTTGGAAGTGGAAACCTCTGCCTATGCCTAAGGGGGAGATTGAATGGGGCAGTGAAAGAAGTTCAGAGTGGAAGTAGCACTGACCACGTGCGAGGAATCAGATAGAATGTCCAGAATGTAGGACACAATTTCCTATCAGAAACTCTTCAAAATGAGCATAAAATCTCATCTTAAGCGCTAGAAATGTCGTAGCGCTAGTGCTAGCACTCAAAATGCGCAGAATAATAGAAGGGCGTAATAGAGCATAATACATGGGTTGCTTCAACCCATTTTCACCTGTACTTATTGATTCGATGAACCAATAGGAAAAGTTTGCAATTGCGCTGCTTCAAAGACTTTTTTTCATGGTTGCTCAGACGAGGATATTTGAACCGGAAATGAAAGTAGAGGTGCGGTTACCGGAAATGTATCGGGAAAAAAGGCAAACCATTGGCACTACAATTGGACCTCCTGTTTTCGGTTGTGTACGGTTCGTTAAGGGAGATTTTCTAAGTGGGGCGCTGGGGGGGGGGGGAACATATTTGGAGAAGAAAAGGCATCGGAGACGGGTGAGATTCCGACACCAAGCGATGAACGGTCGAAGCCTGAGAGAAAAAGTCCTGACGCCTTTGCCACACACTTTTGGTCGCGAAGGTAGCCCTTGCCAGCGGCTCCGATACAACCTATTCTATCAGAATTTGCTCCACTCAGCCCATTTGTGGAACTTGCCTTAATCCATTTGCCCAAATGGTTTCTGCGGAAATTATCACTTGCCTATCTCTTAGCTAAACTTCTTTCCTTTTGAGCCCCTTGCCCCATATATCCTGCATTGTAGAGGCTGTTCTGAACCGAAAAGTCTGGCAAAGTCTGTCTGGACGAATTAAGTGCTTCGATATCTCAATGTGACGCCAGCCCCAGCATTGCCAGCAGACATGTTTATCCCATATGGGAACCGGACTTACCAGACGGCAGTGTTAGCCATTCATCGCAACGTACATCAGCCATCAACAGCATTAGAGTGACGATAAGGATCGTATGACACATCTGGAATGAAGACATTTATAAAACAGGCCTTTGAATAATTGTTTAATTATTGAAGATGCGATGGTCTGAAGGCAAGTACACAATCTCAAATCATTAACAAAAGCTTTCTTGGCAAGTCACGGATGTATGATCGAACGATGGGGTGTTATAACGAGTGGCAAACGCAGAGAATATCTAAACAATTTCCGTTGTTAAAGGATAAATGATAAAACATTTTCCGTTGATCGATCCCTTTTTGGGATGCGGCACGCCTTCTATTAACTCCATTTGTAATTAGGTTGTCTCATAAATAGTGTCGCTTTTTTTCAACCAAATTTTTTTTACCTAAATCCCCAGGCTTTTACATCGAGACATATACCATTCGAAAGAGAATTGCCTGCTCTACAGGTTGATGTGTTCTTCTTCCATCTGTGTTTCATGGTTTTCAGATTTTACGCCTGTGAAATGGGAGGTCCAGCCGATAAAAATTGACCAAATCGACAACTATCTCTAACTTTAACTTTTCTGAGTGGGGAGCATTCGTTAAATCTAGCTGAGTGGCATTAGTGCCGTTCTGAAGATGAAGTCAAGTAGCTCCTTTTCTGGTCACCCCTATACATACTTTATGTCGAGTTTCCAGTTTGGAGGAAGTTGGAGAGATTTGAAATCTTCGAAATTTCTCCTCTCGAAATTCCCATTAACTATTAGGTCGGTCCACAATTTTTGAGAACCTTGGTGTTTTTCGATTTATTACTTATCTTATTTCTCTGATCTACTTATCCAGCATAGTATACATCATTATTATTACAACATATCGCCAATGCGAGGGTGGGTATTCAGTGCCTCTCTTGTGGACTTTCATAGAGTTCTGATCGAAGGAAAATTGTAGTCCCGAATCAGTTCTCAACCCAATCCGACATCATCAAGTTCCTGTAGGTTTCCCATAGTTCCTTCGGATGACCATAATACTCATTGGTGATGTGGACTGGGTACGATGTGCTAACAAATCCACGAGCCGCAGTAGATTTGCTCGAATGATTCGGGAGTTCTGACAGTACAAACCCAAGTCGCTCTGAATTCGAACTTCCTGAGTCGTTGGCGCAATATGGGAGGGCCTTTGCGCTAAAGACCGGCATCAACTAATACCAGTGTCAGTGATGGGAAGAATCGTTGACAGCTTGATGGCAACGCCTTCAACTTGAAAGCAAAGGAAGACAAAATCTATTTTTCTCTGAGGTTGTTAGAGCTCGTCTTGCTAAGAAAATTCCTAAAAAATTGGAGACTCTCGGGCGGTCAGTTCTTTTAGCCGTATAACACTAATCCTGCGTCAACGAACGACTATCCGCTCTCCTCTCTCAATCACCTTCTGGAGAAGAAATCTCACTTGAATCACCATAAAGTCAAAATCGACATCCAATATTTCTTCGATCAGAACTCTATGAAATTCTACAAGAGGGACACTGAATACCCACTCTCGCATTGGTTATATGTTGGTAATAATGGTGATGTATACTGTGCTGAATAAATACATCAGAGAAATAAGATAAGTAATTAAGTCGAAAAACACCAAAGTTTCTCAAAAATTATGGACCGATCTAATAGAATCGCCTCAAATTTGGAAATCTTCTTCTGGTATACAGCGGAAAAAAGAAATTTCAGGAGGGATCCACATTATTACAGTTTTCCATTCGTTTTGATTTTCTTTGATAAGGGCTCAGCCCTACGCCACAAAAAATTTTGAACTAATAATTTGCTTTTTGATAGGTACTGGAACTTTCTTCCCCAAAAATAGCACCTTTGGTAAATTTTCAGTGCACATGCTAATTCTCAACTTTCAAACGATAATGTTTTTCAGAATTGTTTTCCTGGCTATCGTAAATCGACACAGACAGCTATTGGATTTGAGTTGTAAAACAAGTAACAAAACTAGTTTAAAACCAGGTTTTTAACATCCAGACCATCACACATTCCTTCCGATTCGTTCAGGTGTGAATCCAAAACTTTTACGCGATACAGCGGCACTTGCTCTTTTGAACAATTGTTAACACGTTGACGACGAGTGATCTTTTCCTTGTCGCGCGCATGGCACGAAGTGTTTTCTGCATGCAAAGCGCCGGTAACACAGGGTAAAATCTATTTTATAGCTCTGTAAAATCTCGAAATGCACAAAATGCGTTTGACTAGAGTACTCCAGACACGTTTGGAAACAAGGGAAAGCTGTTACTACTGAATGCTGGGGGAAATTCCAGTGGGACGGTAGTAAAGTCCCCTAAATAGCCAGTCTATAGCTGTCCAATAGGTCACGTTGACTCGCCTTCGTCGGCATTCAAAAAGCATGGGAAAAGGCGGAAATTCACGCCGACCTCCCGCAGAGGGCGAGGTCTATACCATATACGAGGTTTAGTCGCCGCCTATCTGCGTCTCTTCATTCCCCATACACTTCCCCCTTTCTCTGCACGTCATGCAGTGGTCGCATGGAGCGTCTCTCCGTCCCTGCCATGCGCAGAGCGCAGGGAAGAAAAGGGTACGTGGAAGGTGATGAGTGGAAGCAGCAAGAAAGCCACTGGAGCTATCGATAATATTGATAACTTCCTGCCAATAAGGTGATCAGCTGTCCCCCGCAGTTTTCCACTTATTGATCGTGTTATAGCTCCTTCCTTGGTCCCGGGAGCATTTCACTACTGCACAATCATTTAGGCCATGATCCTAGGTCACAACACGTCGATTGGCGCAGTGGGTTCGTTCCTTGTTGACATTGGATCGCTCGCGGGATCAGTTCTCCATGATACTGGATGTTTTGCAACCCTCATAGGATCCTACCTTGCTTTCTACAATTCTTTCGGAGTAACACAGAGATGCTTTGTGGTGCAGTGGCAAACGTCGCGCTCATGGGCACTGCACTTCATGGTTAAAGTCAATGGCGACGCGACTATTGCTAGGAATGTAGTGAAGCTCGCCATTAAGAGCGGGGTCATCTGGCTGTCTCGCCTTTCATTATTCACCGCTTATAGTTTACCACCTTTAACTCCCAGTCTATGGCACTTTACTACCGTCCCTAGCATTCTCAAACCTCAGGTTAGAATAATCCGGTTTCCTGCATCTCTACACCAACACAAGGGGTGGCTCCGCGGATAGAGGAGTGGGAGATAGACAGTGTGGAGCTCAACTCTGTCTGGAACGCATTACGCCATGCAGGCAGCGACCCGTGCTACATCAAACCTGCTGAAAGCAAGTGAACACGCGACACATTCACACCCTTCCGTTGTTCAACGAGAAGCACGGCTTTTTTTGCGGTGAACAAGAGGTCAGCAAGTGACACGATCATCTCCCAAGCTACTTCACACGCTCAACACGCGACTGCTACAGCTGGACTGGGATGATAGAGGCAGCGACCATCGACGCGCAAGAAGTTGTCTGACTACGCTTCGCAGGCGACATCGTTCCTCATCAGTCAAACAAAAGGATTGCAGCCAGATGGTGGAGGAGTTGCGGACGATGACGCAGAGCCCTTGGACTCACGATAAACCGGAACAAGACAAATAGTCATGCGGAACGAATGGCGGGATGCATTCCTATCATACTCGGCTCATCTCGGCAAGAACGAACTACCGACTTCTATTCGACTCTGCGGTACTGCCGGCACTCTGTACGCATCCGAGACGTGGGCGGAGAAACAACGGTCTACGGATGATTCTGACATCGCGCAAAAAGATGCTGGGTGACATTGCTCAACATTAAGCTGTCGGAGGCAGAGAAGTCCACAACTTGCGCAGCACAGACATGCCGCTTACATCTCTGTATCCGTGAGCCGCACGTGTATTAGGCGTGCGGACGCAAAGAACGATGGGCCAAACAGTGGTCAGAGCATGGATGATCGTGGACCTACACGCGTTATGTCGGTATCCACGAAGACGTTGAAGCGCACACCTGGCCGTCCTGCAACACGGATGGGAGACTTCCTTAAGAAACTTAACGAATATGCGGGCCAACACTGAGCGCCCAAACCGCCAAGCTCGTCAAAAATGGAGGAAGCGTGCGCTGCCGCTGAGGATCATCGGCTGACAACGAGCATAAATCCAAGTTCAATCAGTATCCAGGTTAGAATAAAGGCGAAAACCATTACAGTATCCCTTTTTATTTTAATATTAGCTTTCGTTTAGATGCTACTGGTTTCTGATCGCAGCTGAAACCTTCTACGAATTTTTCACTCGAGAACGACTCAAAAAAACTTTGCATGAGAAATGAAGAATGCGGAATGAGCTTTTGTTTGACTGTTATCTTGTTCTTCGTGATTGAATATATTCAAACGAATAATTACAAGGTCAAAAAATTGTTTGTGAAAATATCCGGCCACTGATGAGCTGTATAGGTACTTTCGTCTTGCCTGTGAGTAAGACTGTGATTACTTGACCATTATGGGAACCTAAGGCTAGAAATGGACATATTTTTAGTGACATCTCCAATTTTCTAACATTTGGAACTTTGTGGTTGTGATTCAATTGGCACGCGTTTCTGCAACTGATAGCTAATTCAGAAAAAAAGCTACCAGTAAGAGATCTTAGAAAGATCATAAATCGCAGAAAAGTGTAGTAACTTAGAACACGAAGTAATCGCTGAAATGTCCTTAAAGGCGAAGTTTGGGCTCAGACTCACCTAAAAGGCCCTCAAAGTGGCTAGAAGCGCATGGGACGCTAATGCAGGCCACTCGTCAAGTCCCCGCATTCAAATGCGTCACGAGGGCGCTAGGGACCAAGGACTTTGACACGCTCCACCTGTTGTGACACGCTCCGCCCACCGCTCGATATTTTGACAGCGTCGCAATGCTGGGCTACTATGCTCTCCCTCCTCGGATTTCTCTACCGCTCTCCGCGCTCATATTATCTCTCATCTCCCTGCCGGTCTTTTGAACTTCTCCGGTACAGCGAAAGGCTCGTATTTCCTAAGTATTTCACGGTTTTTTTCCTTTTCTCCACTGGCGGTCCATCTCCCGCCCCTACATCACATTTGAGTAGAATTGACTC